ATAGTGTCTTTATATTCTTTCCATTAAAATAATAATTTAGAAAATAGTTAATTTTACAAATAAGAATATTCTAATAAAAATGTATATCTATTAAATAATTTTTAATATATGTCAAAAGTTTAAATCACTAAAGTTTGAAATTTTGGAGCAAATAAAAATAAAAATAGAATTCAACTGAAAACTATTTAAAAATCTTTCATACCAAATTATTATAAAATATTACATACAAAATTATTTAACAAATTAAAAATATAAGTTAATAAAATTACCAAATATATCATATATTATTAAATTTTTTTGATTCATCAAGTCTGCTCAATTGATAATAATGCATAGACATCCGACTATAAGAATACATATTAATCTACGATATTCTATTTATTTAACAATTTTTTTTTTAATTTGTCTTAGTACCAAGTAAATATTATTATTAGATTTTCAAAATAACAAAATCATCTAAAGCTATGACAAAACAAAAACAGTTTGATGTACAAGTCTCCAAGCAGAGCGAAGGCCGTGATTCTTTTCCTTCAAAATGACTGTCAATAAAGAAACATGGGTGTCACAAAAGCATAAGATATTAACCCATTATGAAGCAATCCTTAATTCCTCCTTTAGCTTTTTTTCTGCTTGTATGAAGTACATTTAAGATTCTCTTATTGCCTTCCAAGTCATTCCATTCACTTTATTCACACACAAGACAACATTTAACTAGATGTCATTCAGCTCTTGTAGTATAAGTACACTCACATTACATCCAGAACCATACACACTTGTGTTATTAAGAGGGAAGGTCTCATTCAAGTGCCTTGCAAACATGCATTCAGAATCAGTGAAATCAAGTCAATCTCCTCCTACTGAAGCTGAGAAACATAAGAACCTGGATAGAGAAATTAGGGAGATGGTTTCTGCCATCACTGGTCGTGTCACTAATTTTCATAAACCAGGCTCCACCCACCATTTGGACAATGAGGATGAACATGGCGCTAGGATCATCACCCTCGCGGGAACCAACGAAGGAGCTACTCTGCGGAGTGAAATGGATGAAAAAATCGGGTAAATATTCTTCTCATGATGAGCCTGAATTATTAAGTACTTATGTTAACAGCAACTTCCAGGCCATCAACAACTCAGTCATGCTTGGTGGTAGCTACCATGCCAATGATCCTGGTGTGCACATGGATATTGAAGACTTCACTGAGAATCCTCAAAATCACCATAAGACTGACAAGCATGGCAAGAAGGAAAAGAAAGAAAAGGAAAAGAAGAAGGGGAAAGAAAGTTCTAAAAGTGAACATCACTCTGATTAGTGAATCTCTAGAGATTATGATAAAAACTATGTATGATGGGATCTCAGAATAAATGCGACCTGAACCTTTTTGGAGCCAGAGCTTATCTGTCCAACGTTTTAACCACTGGTTAATGTGTGATTCAAATGACGATGTTTCCCTAATGATTTTTTATTTTATTTTTGTGCTTGTTCTTCATTTGTTTGTGGGTTATTAATCATCAATAGAGGAAAAGGTAGTTGCCATTTCCATGCTAAAATTTTTTATAAACACCGTCTGTTGGGTTCTGAGTCAAGCAAGGCATAATGTAATGAATATATGTTGCATTTCAAAACTGGGCAGTCCTTGAAAAATGATATGCATCATCATGATATCATAAAATTTTAATCCTTGCGTTTCAATCCATTATTTGAAAAGATTACACTCTAGTTGCAAACCTATCAACAAATAGCATTACAAACATTAATAATGTCTTTCATCCCCCGTAGGGATTTACAGTATTACTGGAGGGCCATCAATTAGTTATGCAAACTCTCAAAGAACTTGAGTAAACTTCATAAGCCCAACTAAGCGTATTAATATTTACACAAAATGATGTATCTCATGAAGATGAATAAACAAAATTTGGTAACTGTCAACAAGTTGCAGGTTCAGCTCCATCATGTAAAGCACAGCAAATTGTAGCTTTATGATGCCCTCCGTAAACTTTAATATCTTCACCAGTTGACATAGACCAAAGCCTAGCAGTTGAATCAGAGGAAGCTGCAATGACAAAGTGTATTGGGGGTAAAAGTTTGGATGAAGCAACAACTGATTACCAATAAGTCAATAACAATAATGGTCGTCCATTCAAATTCACAATTGATAATGCAAGGTCCGTTTTGCAATTGGGCAAAGGTAGTTTAATTATAGCTCATTATGCAACTGCAAAATTGGTAGTTTTAAAAACGGTCGTAGTTTGAGCAGTTCCCTCAGTCACCACTCTCCACCAATGTTTCAATCTTTCAAATAAAAATTTAGTCGGATAGAGTACAATTAAAACACAACTTTTAGTATGGCTATTACAAAATTCTAAGCAGAACAACTTTAAAATATTAAAAGCTAATTTAAGTTTAACCTTCCTACTAAAATTACATATGTGTAGAGAATTTAAGTTTGCACCTACACTATGTCCAGCAATTTTTAAATCTGGATTCTGGAGGACTAAATGATCATGTTTTTTTACTCAGCCCATAAGATACTTAATTTTCTTTAAAGAAAGATAAACAATCAAGGTTAGCAATTGGTAAATAAAACAAAAGCCAATCCGCCATCAAAAACTACAGAAATTTGTAATTTCATGAATCAATCTTATCTGCCCTTAACATTTCCTGTGAACTGAAGGATCCAATTCTGGGCAATGCAGAAGATAAGGGCCTGTTTCTAAGTAACAATTACACTATAAATGTGTTTTAAAACTTTTTTACACTTGTATCATCAAATCATTGCAGAAGTTAGAAGACCATAATTATTATCACTTAAAAAGTCTAAATACTGAAGTGACATCGATTGTTCAAAAGGAAACACATTATATATCCAGTTCCTGGGTGTGTATAAGAAGACAAATACCAAAAAAATGACCAAGTTAGTACCTGTAATAAGGTAGGCACCGTCCACTGAGAAGACACAGTCCCACACCCAACGTGTATGACCTAGGATGTACAGCCAGACTCGTTTCAGGTTTAGGAAATTTTGGGAAAAGGGCAGGGAATGAAAAAAGATTACATTATTACATAATTTCATGAATTACCAATCAAAGTCTTCTCTAATGTAAAACCATCAACATTCCATATCTTGACAGTGTTATCAGAAGATGCAGTTGCCAAATACCTAAAAATATCACCAAGAAACAATAACATCTTAAATAAGCTAGAGGTACATTAGGAAGTTAAAGAAAGAAATAGAGACAGAGAGATTGTCAGTCCTGGAATAACTAAAGCGGTCCCGAACCAGCCGGCATACCATCATTAAATTACTGGAAGCTACAACCCGGTCAAAACAGTTTTAGCTAAATTTAAAGACCTGGGAAGGTTCTCTATTAGACTGTTGATGCTTCCAGTTCAAACTGTTTTTTTACAACTTGCATATTGCTAACTCAAACAATAATATGAATTTAAATATTATAAACCACATTGAATAAGAAAATAAAGTGCAGCTCCATCTTCATAGCAAGAGAGATGAATATAACTGTAGTAGAAGCACACTGCACACTGATTTTATTTTGATAAAAGGCAGCATAGACTCCTGCAGCCTATATTCATTAGCATGCTAAGACTGATTACCCAAAATCTGATTTAATTTATTTTAATATTTTTTATCCCAAATTTTTTTCTTCAATTTCTGACCTGAGATTTCAGCTGTGGCAAATAGATCTTTAACATCTCACCCTTGTTGTAAATATTTTATAATTCCATTTTTGTCTTAGTTAACCCAACTGATTACCCAAAGCTTAACCACTGGCCAGTAACTTGACCACAACCTTTTCCATCTCCGAACTTAATTAGAGTAAAAAAAAAATTAAAAAAGACAAAACATAAGCACATTCTTAATGACCTGTGGGGATCGCAAAACTCAGGTGATAAAAGACATTTCAGGATGTAGCCATTGTGTGCTTGCAGCTTATGAAGTGGCTCAAAGTTTGTCATTGTCTGCAGCACAAAAACACATTTCATTGGTAAAGATAAGTAAAGATAGACCTGAGGATGACATTACCGTGATATTTCTATCAAGGCACAACCTGAGTCCCTCGCAACAGACGCCACACATAGCATGTCCCATTATTATTTGCTGCTACTACGAGGCTGCCATCCCACATCACTGTCAGAGAGCGTACAGCCGTATCCACCTCTGGCACCTACATTTCTTCCACAAATTGAAAATAATGTTCTGCCCATAAGTTTTGTCAATGAGTGAGAGAGAAAGAGGGAGGACATAATAGAAGCACTAATTCAAATATTTCATTATTTTAAAATATTACTTCGGATTTATGTAATCTTCTCATAGAGAACATTTAAACATCTATTCTAAACTGATATCCATATACAGTAAAAAGAGTTTATAACTCGTACCAATTCACAGCTGCATGAATTTGCTGTCAAATCCCACACACGAATATTGCCATTTTGATCGCCAGATATCAGTTCAGTCTGTTGGATCACATGCAAAATCCGTGAGAACCACAAAGCAAGAACCTATATGTACAGATATCTCATGTGGTAGGATATTTTAAGAACTAAGGAACCATAGTGAACAAAGAAAGAGTATCAAAGAGACATGTTTGATGCCTCAAATGAAATATAAAGAAAGGAAATGTTCCCTTAAAATTAAGCTATGTGATAATCCAGTGACTCTCATAACAGTGACACGTAATTGAAAGAAATAACATAATAATGGAAAGCTACATACAGTTTTTAATACAATTAGGAAGACCATAAATCAGTCCAAGTTATCTCTTCACAATTTTTAATACAGTTTTAATTAATGTAGCCATAAATCAGGGATAAATTGTATAGCCACCAACAAAGAGTGAAACATAACCTGATTCGGGTGCAACACAACACTGTTAACTGCTGCACGACTTTCATATTCCCTCTGACAACCTGGTGCCCTGCATTTTTGTCATCAAATAAGCAAAGTCTATTTATTTAACCGAAATTCAAGGCCTAGTATCATAACATAAAATTGTTATGCAACATAACATCTACTTCACCTCAAATCCCAGATCTTAACTGTGCCATCCTCTGAACCAGAATACATCCAGTTCCCATCACATTGAAATCCAACTGCCATTACATTATTGGTATGTGAATCGTAGCTCATTACCTACCACAAAACGAGGAACACCAAATTTTTGGAACCAGAAAATAAATAATTTTTTGAGGTAAGTGCATCAGTTAAAAAGACGTACCGGCTGAGGGCTATTTGAGTTAACATCAAACAACCGTATGTGAGGATTACCAGCTGCAGCTAAGAAGCGTTTATCCGGGGTTATCTCCAGCCGGTTTACTTGCTATACGAATTAAATACAGCAAAATCAGTATCACAATATTGAACCAAAAATCACCAAAAAGCCATTCTCCATGATAAACTAGTACTCCACAAACAATCACTATCTGATAAAAGACAAATCTAGAAACACCGAAACAGCTAAGCTACAAACTAGTAGCACATAATCAAAACCTATGAAGCACGGACACCCTAAACACGACCGCGACACTGACACAACACTGGTAATAATTTGAAAAAATGAATAAATTAAACTTATTCACACGTGCCGGTACACGTGTCTGACACCAATAGAGATCATAACTCCAAAAATAGCTGAGCAAATCGGCTAAAATCTAATAAAAAAGTCCATGCAAGCAATTTGATTCTCAAATTTCACATATCTTATATAAAACATGGAATTATCCCTAAACCCTAAACAAATGCAAACTTAGATTGGTTTATTCAATAGCTGCAAAAATAAAAAGGAATAAGAAGAAATGAAGCAAACCGAATCAGGATATTGGATGGTGCGGTAACATCGACCACTCTTGGCTTCCCAAAATCGAATGGTATGGTCATAGCTGGCAGTCGCGAGTATCACTGATGGTTGACTCATCCTATAACAAAAATCTTGTTGTTTTTCTTCTACTATCAATATACATTTATGTATCAACAGAAAAACCTAATATGAATTGATCGACCAGAATCAACTGAAATTGAATTTCAATGAAGAAATATCAAATTGTGCAGAACCTTAGTGGTGATGGAAAAGCGAGAGAATCGCGAGGAGGAGGTCGCGGTCTCCGGGAGTTTCTACCGCCGCTAACGACGGTGTCAAAAGAAAGCCGTACAAGTCAATTCAGGATTTTTCATGACTCGCCGATCTAAACGCGCCGTTTTGATTTTTTTTCTGTTTGAGAAAACATTTTTTATAAAAAAAATACATTTCGCTCCTCTATATTATATTTTTTTCTTTTGAAAGGACTCTTTCCTTT